TGTGGTGGTGGAACACAGGCCCATCAGTGGTGCTGGAGCCGCAGGGCCCCCCCCGACGGCGTCGTGCCCTGATCGGCGACCCGTACCGATCGCTCGCTGAAGGTTGGCAGTTTGTTGGGGGGTCCCAGACCCATATCTCCCTGGGCGCCTGCCTGTGCTTCAAGGATCGAGCGGCTTCACCTCGCCCCCCCCCCCTTTCCGGGGGCGGTCGGAAGCCCAGGCTACTTGCAGCGCCTTCCTATGTCATGGTTCTGCCTACTTTTCTGACCGATGGGTAAAGGTGACCATTCGCCAGAGCGACTGTAGGTGCGCGGCTATTGTGCCGGGGTCGAGGGGCGGGGGTCGATGCACGCGGGGGTCAGTCAGGGCGCCAGATCGTTCAGGACCCTGCAGTGCCAGGGATGCATTGGCCCGCGCGTGGGCGCTCCCAGGGGGACAGGAACTGCGGTCGCCGCGGGCGGGATCCTGAGAGCCCGACTCGAGCCCGGGCGTCTGGGCCGGCCAGGCTCCTCCTCATCCTCCTCCTCCTCTCCTCATCCTCCTCTCTCCTCCCTCCTCCCCCTCCCCCTCCCCTCTCCTCCTCCTCATACTCCTCGCGCTCCCCCCCTCCTCTTCCTCCTCTCTCCTCCTCCTACTTATCCTCCTCCGTCACTCCTTCCGCCTGCCCTCCTCCTCCTCTTCATCCTCCTCCTCCTCTCCCTCCTCCTCCTCCTCCCACTTCCCCCTCACTCCTCCTCCTCTCCTCCTCCTTCCCCTCATCCTCTCCTCCTCCCTCCTCCTCCTCCTCCTCCTCATCCTCTCTCCTCCTCCTCCTCCTCCTCCTCCTCCTCCTCCTCCTCCTCGGTAGATCCCCTGATTTTTCGGGGGGCGCGGGGAGCCCCCCAGCCCGAGCGCGCAGGCCGATGCTGCCGCGCAGCGTGCCGCGATCGGCGAGCCGTGCGTGCGTGAGGCTTGTCCTGCCTAGGGCCACCCTGGCGTGTCGCCGCCGAGGGTACAGCCGGGGCGTTGACCTAAGGAACGATAAATAAGGAACGAGGCCGCTTTTCCCCAGAAGTTAAATTCAGATTTCCCATGGAAGACCTGGGGACAACCCCAGGAGCGCTGCAACACAACTAAGGAGCACGGAGCCCCTCCCAAACGAAAAGGGTGCCTTCTTCAGGGCCCCGACTGTAAGGCGGGCCTGTCCCTCGGCAGGGAGCGCTCTCAAACATCGTCCAAGAACAGTTTGGGAACGAGGTCTCGGCCACATGTTCGACCATGCTTGAGCATGCTTGGGCTCTTTTTTAGTTGTCATCCAGAACTTCCCTGTAGGAGAACACGCCCGACCGAACGCCAAGATTTAAGTCGGGCGTGTCCCTCTACAGGAGAGGTGTTCCAACATAGCCAAAAATGGTATGGGGACGATGTTTTTTTTTTGGGGGGGGGGGGGTATTTTTGATCATTTAAACATACGTTTGGCTTGTAGGGGGCCTGTAGGGGGACACGCCCGACCTGACGCCAAGATGCGGCCAACTTTTCCGCGAACGAGCGCTGGGCTGGGCGCGTCGCGCGCTTGCCCCACAACGAGACATTCGCGCCTGCAGGGCGCTGGCGGACGCGGACAGTCACACTGGCCGCCCAGCGAGTACATGCCGACGCAGGCGATTCTCAGAGAAGGAGAAAGGTACCCATACCGCTACCCCTCCCTCGTTCTCCCCCGTTTGGGCCTCCTGGGAGGCCCTCGTCGCCACCGCTGGATCCGCCTCGAGATCCGGGTCAGAACGCGCCCCGGGAGAGGTCTGGGGAGCAGCGGTATCGGGACCTCTCGGTTTCCTCAGAGTGCGCGTCGCTCTCTCCGGGCCGCGGGCGCCTCACCGGGCAGGGCGGGCGCTGCCAGCCTGACCCGTGAGCGCAGCCGCCCTGCCCGACGTGGAGTACGGCTGGAGCTGCTGCGGCACTGCCAGGGCTTGCCGGGGCCACGTCTCGAGGCTTGGCGGATGCGTCTCCGAGTTCGTCCAGGCCTCCTGGATGTTACCAGCCTGGAGCAGATCCCTATCCCTATGCTGGGCACCTCCTCATCACGATGCCAACCTCAGGGGTTCCCTTATTGTTTGAGGGCGAATCCCTAAGATTGTCAACGCCTTTTGGCGTGTCAGTCTTAGGGGTAAGGATACGTTCGAGGCTGGTAAGGACGGGGTCGCAGCAGACGGGGTCGGAGGATCGCGCCGCCTCGCCGATGCAACGGCGGTGCAGCTCCACGCGGAGTCCGACTTTCTCCGCGCCTGCCTCGCCTGTGCATCGCCGATGCATCGCCGATGCATCGGCGATGCATCGGCGATGCCGCGCGATCCGTCGACCCCATATACTCGGCCCTACTGTATCGGGCCGAGCGACAGGGGGGACAGGGAACGGAGGGGTTACGACATCTGCTGCATGCCGCTGGCCTCGGCCCCGCCGCCAGGCCCATTCCTCGGTGCATGGGCGCCGGGAGGCGCTGGGAGAATCAGCTGCGTGAGCTGCTTCTCTACCCTGCCCTTTGCTATCCCGCCCTTTCGTCCCCCCCGACGCGCGGACCCCGTGTAGAAGGCCTCTGCTTCGGCCTCCGCGGGCCGCGCTCGGTGGGCGCGCTCCAGCGGCCGGCGCTCGTGCGGCTCGAGAGAGCTCTGGGGGGCGGGCGGTGCGGACCACAGGCGCGCAGCAGCCGAGACGTTCCCGCTTCGCCGGCCGGGCCAGCAGGAGCGCAGATGCGCGGGCGCCGCAGGCAATCGCGCCCCGACGAGACCGGCGCCGACGGGCACATGGCGCCCGAGGAGACCCGCGCGCGGCCATGCGGCCCGTCCGCGGGCATCTTCTCCGTCGGGGTGGTGTCCCTCCACAGGAGGAATCTTCGAGCATAGTCCACGACGATTTGTATGTTTTTTGGCTTGGTCATGTGTGGGTAGTGTTCAACTCTTCTTTATTCCCAACCATCCTATGGTGTGGGGTCCTCGTTCTGAAGAGACAGCGGCCCGCGTCCTCCTCTCCTCCTCCTCCCCTTCCTCCCTCCTCCCGTCATCATCATCTGCATCATCAGCATCATCGTCATCGTCATGGTCATCATCATCGTCCTCATCATCGTCACCATCATCGCCATCAGCTTCGGCATCAGCTTCGGCACGCCCCACACAGGCTTCGTGGCCCCATCGGGAGCTCCACCGAAGGCCACAGGGCCGCCGCCCGCATGCGTCCCGCACACCCAATTCGGCACACCCCTCACACGCTTCGTGGCCCCATAGGGAGCTCCACCGAAGGCCCCAGTGTTGCCGCCCGCATGCGTCTGGCACACCAAATCTGGCACACCCCTCACACGTCTCGTGGCCCCATAGGGAACTCCGCCGAAGGCCTCAGTGCCGCCGCCCGCATGCGTCCCGCACACCCAATTCGGCACACCCCTCACACGCTTCGTGGCCCCATAGGGAGCTCCACCAAAGGCCACAGGGCCGCCGCCCGCATGCGTCTCGCACACCCAATTCGGCACATCCCTCACACGCTTCGTGGCCCCATAGGGAGCTCCACCAAAGGCCCCAGTGGCGGCGCTCACATGCGCATGCGTCCCGCACACCCAATTTGGCACACCCCTCACAGGTTTCGTGGCCCCATAGGGAGCTCCACCGAAGGCCCCAGTGGCGGCGCTCACATGCGTCACCCACACCCACATAAGTCGGCACACCCCTCACAGGTTTCGTGGTCCCATAGGAAGCTCCACCGAGGGCCCCAGTGGCCGCGCTCACATGCGTCCCGCACACCTAATTCGGCACATCCCTCACACGTTTCGTGGTCCCATAGGGAGCTCCACCGAAGGCCACAGGGCCGCCGCCCGCATGCGTCACCCGCACCCAATTTGGCACACCCCTCACACGTTTCGTGGCCCCATCGGGAGCTCCACCGAAGGCCCCAGTGGCGGCGCTCGCATGCGTCCCCGCCACACATCCCGGCACACCCCTCACACGCTTCGTGGCCCCATAGGGAGCACCACCGAGCGGCACGTACCTGCGTCTCCGCCACCCATCCCGGCACCCCCCCATGTTTCGTGGTCCCATAGGGAGTTCTGTTGGAGGCCCCAGTGGCGGCCCTCACATGCGTTTCCGCCACCCATGTCGGCACACCCCGCATGTGTTTCATGGCCCCATAGGGAGCGTCACCGAAAGGCCCAGTTGCACCCATCTCGGCTCACCCCTCCCACGTTCCGTGGTCCTATGGGGAGTTCCACCGAAGATGAAACCCACAGCTGCGGTACTCACAACTGCATATGGTAAGGTTCTTCGCCATGCTAATTTGTCGCCCAACATCCCCCTCTAGGAGGACCTGCCCGATCGAAGGTTTCTTGGGAGACGCGAGAGGCTTCTGCGAGGCCCCGCCGCCACGCGCGAAAGCCTGCCCCCTCTCACGTCTCCCCTGTCGGCGACTTGGACCCATCACGCGCTGCGCATCCGAGGAGGAGCTGAAGGAGGAAGAGGAGGAGGACGAGGAGGAGGATCAGGAGGAGGAGAAGGAGGAGGAGAAGAAGAGGAGGAGAAAGGGGAGGAGGGGAGAAAGAGGAGGAGGAGGAGGAGGAGGAGGAGGAGAAGAAAGGGGAGGAAGAGGAGGACGAGGAGGAGGAGGAGGAGGAGGAGGAGGAGGAGGAGGAGGGGGAGGAGGATCAGGTGGGGGGAGGGGACTTCGCATCACGTGTCGACGTCCCTCTGCCCACCCTGCGTCCGCCACCAGCCAGCGCTGCCCCTCGGCCTGGCCCTTCCCGCCCGCGCGGCGTGCCGCGCCGGCGGCACGCGTCGGCCGCCGCGCAGCGCCGCGGTGCCCTCGTGCGCACGGTCCAGCCACCGCCGTGAGGAGCGGCGACGCCTGCCTTGGTCTCACCAGGCGCCCCTCCTCCTCCACCTCCTCCTCCTCCTCCTCCACTCCTCCTCCTGCTGCTCATGGCGGTCGAGGAGATCCTGTGGCCATGCTCCTCCTCATCCACCTCCTCCTCCTCCTCCTCCTCCTCCTCCTACTCCTCCTCCTCCCATACACCTCGTCCTCCTCCTCCTTCTCCTCCTCCTCCTTCTCCTTCTCGGTGCTCTTGGCGACAGAGCACCGAACAGAGCCAGTGGAGCAGTCGTGCAAAGATTTCGGGAACGGCGACCCCTCCCGAGCCCGCGCAGTCCCCCCACTGCAGCGCCTTGGCTGTGGGCCCCTTGCTATCCCTCGCCACTCCCGTATTGCTCTGGCGGGGCTGGAGAGAGGTGAGCCCGCCGTTTCAGATGGAAACGTGGTCTCGAGGAGTTTGGCGCCGTGGCCGTTGGAAGCGCGCATCTTGCACGCCGTGCCCCCTCCTGCTGCCCCTTCCAGCCCCCCCAGCTCCATCATTCCCCTTCCCTCCACCTGCTGCTCCTCCTCATCCTCATCCTCGTCCTTCTCCTCCTCCTCCTCCTCCTTCTCCTCCGTTCCTTTCCGCTCCCTCTTGCTCCTGCTCCGCTGGGAGCCCGTGTTCCTCCCCTCCTCCACACTCTCCTCCATCCTTCACTTCTACCTCTCTTCATCCACCTCCCTTCTCCCCAGCCCCCCCCCCGTTCTCACTGCTCCTCCTCTTCCTTCCCGATCCATCCCCGCCCTCCTCCCCGCCCTCCGCCCCCTGACCTGCTCCTCGTCTTCCTCCTCGTCCCCCGCCCCCGTCTTCCACTCTCTCCTCCTCTCCACCCTCCTCCACCTCGCTCCTCCATCTTCCCCTGCTCCCCCCCCCCCACCGCCTCGTCCTGCTGGTCCGTGGGTGTGCACCCTATCCCCCCTCTCACCGCCGTGCACGCAGTGCTGTCGGCGGGGGCAAGCGTGGGGGGGACGCTGTCTTCCGCCCGGGCCCCGCCTTTCCTCGATGAGGAGTTCCCCGCTCTCCCGCGCTCCGAGACATCGGCGGAGGAAGCCCTTTCCCCCCACCCTCTCTTGCTGCTCTCGAACCACATGTCTCTCTCGAAGTGCCCGAGAATGCCTGCGCCGACGACGTTGGGGATGGCGATACCCGTTTGGGTGTGAAGTTGTTTGACATGAGCGATGCGGCAGGGTCACATGTCCTTTGCATATCCCCAGGGGGTGCGGAGAAATCCAGGTGGGGGGTGGGCGGGTGGTAGATCCCAGTTCCTGTCCATACGAGGAGAGCGTACGTGGTGCCACACGTGTATGTGTATGTTATTATGTGTACCTGCATGTGTACGTGCATGTAACCCCTTATGTATAATAGAGTTTGATGGTTTCTGCCTGTGCCCATGTATATGTGTGGTGTTGCTGATATTGGTGGGTAAGAGAATGTGTATATGCATACGTATTGATCTACATACGTGTACCTGTATGTGTGGACATGTAGCTGTCTGTGTATGTGCACGTGTCCATTTATCTATATATTTACATGTGTGCATATACATGTATGTATAACATATAGGCGTGTATACAATTTTATATGTAGACGTAAGTGTGTATGTCTACCTTTAGGTATATATTTGAGTATAAGTGTTTGGATGAGCATGCGCGAATGTAACTGTACATGTATAGTGTAATATGTGAGTGCCCTTGTTTATGTACGTGACGGTGGTGACGTATTTGTATATGTATATGTTTATGCATGTGTTTCTGTATACGTGTAGATAATATTATCTCAATTGGGGGTGGGGCGACGAGGCGGCGATGGGACGGCAACGGCGGCAACCTAGCCGCCATACCGCCACCCAGGCCCAGACGACGGGCGGCGACAAGGCGGCGACGCAGGGGCGATTGCGGAAACACAGCCGACAGACTGCCACGCAGGCCCAGCCCACGCGACTGACGGCGACGAGGCGGCGACGGGGCGGCGACGGCGGCTTTATAGCCGCCAGACCGCCTGCCAGGCATAGTTGACGGGCGGCGACGAGGCGGCGACGGGGCGGCAATGGCGACAACATGGCCTCCAGACCGCCACCGAGGCCCAGCCGACAGGCGGCGTCGACGGGGCGGCGACGGCGGCAACATGGCCGCCAGACCGCCACCCAGGCCCAGTTCTTTGGAAGAGAAGTAAGAACCCCTAAACACAGACACTGTTTGGGGAATGCATATGCTAGCGACCGTAGACCCCAAGCACTAAACGATTGCATCTGAATGTGGTGTAGTCTGCGAGGTGTAGCCTATGTGGTGCAGTAGACGTGGTGCAACTTCGCAGGACCAGTGGCAACGTTAGGAGGCGTGGCGGAATCTTGCCAGACCCGGTCCCGAGCCCATCACGGAGGCTAGCTTTCAACCGGGATTGGAATGTCCCAGGGCCCAGAAAGGAGCCTTTCGAGGGCGAAGTCGAAGATCAATTTCCGGTTTGGCACAATCACATGAGCGACGGAAGAAAAAGGGGGTCGTATGCGTCAACATTTGCGGGTGATATTGCGAGTAAGGCCGCGCGTACGAAGACTCCTTCTTCTCCACGCGGTGTATTACGCTGGCGGCCTGCGTAAGCCGCCGCGCAAGGTCGTTGTGTCCTCTCGCGTAAGACCCGATTCTTTTCGTCACTCGTGAATCGTGGGAGGTCAGGGTGTTTCGTAGCAAATCATGGGAGCATTGTAAGCCCTCGCAACTCCGTCTCTAGCGCCGACTGGCACCAATTCACGTCTGGGGGTCGATGAGGTAGCGCCGACGTAGCGTCGCTTAGCGTCGAGTGAGCCTCGACTAGCCTCGATTTGGCGTCGACGTGCGTCGATTCGAAAGAGCCGGCAAGATGGTATGGAAAGCCCCCATGAGTTTCCACCGAACTTCTTTTCGTCACTCGTGATTCGTCGGAGGTCGGGGTGTGTCTTCGACCATGGGCCGCTCTCGCCGCCCGCGGTGCCGCAGCGGCAGCGCCCGCACCCTTGCGCGGCCGCGCCCCGACGAGACCGGCACCGACGGGTACATGGCGCCCGAGGTGATCCGCGCGCGGCCGTACGGCCCGTCCGCGGACATCTTCTCCGTCGGGGTGGCGCCGTGGGGGCGCAGGTCTCCAGCGATCTGATTGGTTCAAGATGCCGAGGGAGAGCAACGCCATAAGATTCACCTTTTGGCGCTCCGCCCGGAGTTCTTGGATCCGCGCTGGACCCCCCGGGCGGCGCTTCCGGTGCCGCCCCTGGTGCGCTCCGCGCGCCAGGGAGGGGGGGTCCAGCGCAGATCCGAGAAATCCGCGCGGAGCGCCAAAAGTTTATGATTATGGTGCTGGGCCTGTTTCCCACCACCACCACCACCAGAAGTTGGATGGGGGGAGGGAGAAGGAGGAGGAGGAGGAGGAGGAGGAGGAGGAGGAGGAGGAGGAGGAGGAGAGGGAAGAGTGGGGGGGGGGGGAAGGAGGACGAGGACCCCCTCCCCCTCCAACTCATGGTGGAGGTGGTGGTGGAAACCAGGCACATCGTATGGCGTTTTTGTCTCTGCTTCCAATCTATGGGAGCGTTTCCTCGCCAGCGGCTCCCGGGGCGCGGTGCCCGGCTCCGGGGCCAGCAAGAGGGGCCCGCGCGGCGAGGGAGTGGCTCCTTGGGGGAGGGGGAGGGGCCTTTTGGGTTAAGTTGGGCGTGTCCCTCTGCAGGAGGAAGATTCCAAGTCTGGGGGGGATTGTTTGAGCATTGTTTGACTATTTGGGGGTAACTATGTTTTAACATTTTTTTGATTTGTCGTCCAAAGCCCTCCTGTAGGGGGACATGCCCGACCCAACTCTGGGGCGGCTCGTTGAAACAATGAGATCGTCGAGGGACTGGAGGGGGAGGGGCAGTCGCCAGGAAGAGAACGACGACGACGTCGACGACGTCAGCGTCGGACACGTGTGTGTGTGTGTGTTTGTGTGTGTGAGTGTGTGTGTGTGTGTGTGAATGTGTGTGTGTGTGTGCGTGCGTGCGTGCGTGCGTGCGTGCGTGCGTGCGTGTGTGTGTGTGTGTGTGGTGTGTGTGTGTGTGTGTGTGTGTGTGTGTGTGTGTGTGTGTGTGTGTGTGCGTGTTTGTTTTTCCCCGGCGAGACCATCGAGGAGCATCCTGGATCATCTTGCGACAAGGTGCACGCACGAAATCAACACATGCACGGGGAATGGACGTCCGAGCGATGGCAAGTGCTCTAAGGAAGCAGCAGGTCTGGAGGGGAATGGGGCTCTGAGGTTTCTCGGTGTCATTCACCGCGTGCCAGCACAAGGCAACGCCAAGTTCAAATTCCGATGAACATTGCAACAAAAGGCCATTCGTATACAATTCCGCGGGTGTCTTGGTGGTTTCGTGGGGCCGTTTGGGAGCTTATTCGGGGTCTCTTGGCTGCCCCTTGGGGGTCCCTTTGGGGCCTCTTGGGGACTCCTTGGGCGTCTTGGACCGTCTCGGGGCGCTCTTGCGCCGCCTGGACGCTTCCGATGCCGTCCAGGGGGCGTCTCGTGGCCGCCTTGGGGTCCTCTTGGGGCCCTCTTGGGCCGTCTTGGGGGCATCTTCCGTTTTGGCTGCCTGTTTGGGCCATCGTGGAGCCTTCTTTGGTGTCTCGAGGGCCTCGTGGAGGCCTCTGGGGCTCTTCTGGGGCCATCTTGGAGGCTGCTTGGGCTGTCATGGGCCCCGGGGAGTTGACAAAGGCGCGAACGCTTGAATCGTTGAAAAACCTATGGGAAGTAAGTTTTTGCACCTGCTTCTGGCCTGCAGACGCCCTCTTGAGGATCCTGTTGGGGCCATCTTGGGCAGTCTTTGGGAACCTCTTAGGCCTTCTTGGGGCCATATTGGCTGTCTTGGGGGCGTCTTGGCTCGTCTTGGGGCCCAAGACCCATCTTGAGGCAATCTTGAGCCGTCTGGAGGCACTCATGGGCCCAAGGGGCCCAGTAGGCCCAAATCCTACATGTTCTGTTGCTTTCGGTCGGTGTACGGGTCAGGCGCGATTCCAGTTGGGTGTGTTAGGGGGGCTACGTACAAATGTTGAAGAAAACCGCGCGTAGCAATCATGCCAAGTTGGGCTACGTTCTGCAATTGTGCATTCCTTCGATGAACTGGACACGTTGCATGACAGCATCCGCGGGCCTGCCTCTGGTAACACCGTCCTTCTGGACGTGGGTATCTGCCTCGCGGGTTGCACGTCCAGGGCGAACCAGGTCAGCTTGTTGTTAACAAAAGGGTGACCCCCCCTGGGTTGATGAATAGACCGCGGGGCGCGAAACTTTTTTTATATCACGCGCGCCAGGGGTTTGTCGCTGGCGCCGCCGAGGGGATCGTGTACCCCCCTGCACGACAGCCTTAAAACGATTGCCTTTTCGAATGGAAGTTGTTTTAAGGGTCGTACACATCCGAGGCGAATTGTTGTTCCCCCTCTCAG